TACAACCCCTCCTGCCGAAGGAAACGAGGCCCACAAGATAGCCTTCGTGCATCGCTGGACCCCCTGAGTCGCCCTGGAAAAGGAGGGAATAGATGAACGAAGTGATGTTCAGTGAGAAAGGGACTGGGAAAGGAGAGAAATAGACAGATGAATAGGGGAAGAGAGAGGGAGAGAAAGGAACAAACCGAAAAGTAGGGAATAAACAGATGGATAGGGAAAGAGACAGAGGAAGGGAGAAAGGAACAAACAGGAAACGAGGGAGAAGGATAGATAGGGAGAGAGGAGGAAAGCGAGAAACAGAGAAATAATCTCCACTGCTGATGTTAGGTATTAATTCTATTTTCAGGAAACAAGTAACTTTTCATTATGCGTAATTCCTCTTCCTTATGGAGAGGGAGAAAGAGAGAGGCAGAGAGATAGAGAAAAAGAGAGGTAGAAAGATAAAGACAGAAAGAAAGAGGCAGAGAGACAGAGAAAGAGAGAAGCAGATAGACGGGCAGGCAATTAGACAGAAGGAAAGAGAAACAGACAGGGACAGAGTATATCCCAAATATTCAGCAGACCAAGAAAGAGCGACTCACATTACAGGGGCTAACATTCGTCGCACGTGTGCAGATTATGGTTTCGTCCACGAACCGAAAAGTCTCCTGCATTTCTGAACAGTGATGGTCCGGGTAACTATCTCTTGTAGAGTAGTTTTTTTTAGTTTCCGACACTGCAATTCAGGCGATGGTAAGAACGAATATATAGATATTCAGAGCGAAAAAAAACATTAAATTCAGCTTCTCATAAAAAATGGCAGGGGGTGGGATCATAAGAAATTAATTTCATATTTATCTACACTTTAACAGTGTAAATAAGAAAACAAATCTTCATTTTTGTAAAAAGCAAAATATATATTTCTTTTTACAATATATATATATATAATATATATATATATATATATATATATATTAACCATTCAATGTCTTATTAAGTGCTTATATTACTTACTGGTTCTTCCCCAACCGGTGACCACCACAGGCGTATCTGCTTTCACTGGATGAGTCGGCAATTTGATAGGAAAAACTTTATCTGAGAAGGGAAACGAAATGCTTTTTTTTCTTCTTCTTAATGCATGTATATATATAAACATATATGTATATATATATATATATATATATATGTGTGTGTGTGTGTGTGTGTGTGTGTGTGTGTGTGTGTGTGTGTGTGTGTGTATATATATATATATATATATATATATATATATATATATATATATATATATATATATATATGATGCATATATATCCATATATGTATTACATATACATACATATATATATATATATAATATATAGATAGATATAGATATATATGTACATATGCATATACATGAATGTATGTATGCATATATGACAGCGTATTTCATTCATCACCATCATTAGAAGCTTACGCCGACGGGGGCGCATAACCACGTCCACCCTTTGTTTCCACCTTTTGGGTCCCTCATAGCAAGCTGCCAGGTAGAGACTCAGCCCATCTCGAGCTCCTCACAACAGGTTTGATCGGTCTGCCCAAGCCACGACTTCCTCGGTCGTCCCACAGACCTCCTCCACAACGGGTTGTGTCTTACAAAGACAACCTGGTAGGCAGGATCATCCTGTGGGAAGCGAGCCAGGTGGCCATATAGCCTGAGTTGGTAATCACGGATTGTGCAGATAACAGGTCCTGAGCCAGTCTCACCGTGGAATCATTGGTTGGACATGTGGTCCCGCCAACAATACCCGATGATCCGGCACAAGGACCTATTACAGAAGGCATCAAGACGAGACTCAAAGGTACAGGATAATGTTAAGGCTTTACTACCATATAGCAAAACTGGTATGATCAGGGCCTTGTAAACCCGTAGCTTGGTCTTTCTGCACAGGTACCGACATCTCCAGATACTCTTGGCGAGAGAGTTCATGACCCCTGCTGCCAGGCCAATATGTCTTCTGACTTCTTGGTCTGACAGCCCAGAGTTATGAACTACACTACCAAGGTATGTAAAGCTCTCAGTGTCCTCACCGGAAGCATGTGCCGACTGAACAGGTTCCCAAAGTCTGGATCTTGGTCTTGGTCCAGGAGACCTCTAGACCCAAGGGCTTTGCTTCATGGCTAAATGCATCAAGATCTACCACTAAGGTTTCCAAAGACTCAGAATAGCAACATCACCAGCAAAGTCAAGGTCTGTAACCTTAATATTGCCCAGAGGTTATCAACAATGACTTTGAACAGTAGCTTGTCCCCGTTTACAGTCCATACAAGTGTTGAAAAATATTGGTGCAAGGACACAGCCTTGCCCCACTCCTGAACTAACAGAAGCTCGACAAGCACCCATCACACTTTACAGCACTTTCAGTACCAGTATACAGACTTGCTATTAGTCTAATAATCCTTGTTGGAATTCCTCTCAGTCTCAGTCTTCCCACAGAGTGATTTCCGAACGCCTTCTTGAGGTCGATGTAAGCTGCAAGCAGCCCACACCCGAACTCACGTTCTAAAATGACTCGAAGCGCAAGGATATGATCTAGAATTCCTCCGGCCTCTAAACCTCTAGGTAGTCCCTGATACGTCTCAGAAAGATGTGGGCAAGAACCTTGCCTCGGTGATTGCTGCAGTCCCATCGGTCCCCCTTCCCCTTCCAGAGAGAGATGACCACACCCCTTAATAGGGGTGTACCTGACCGCCAGATGGCAGCCAGGACAGCATGCAACCTCTGTGCCATAGGTTCACCACCAGCGTTTAACAGTTTAGCTGGAAAGCCGCTGCTTTGCCATTCTTCAGCTTGGAGATCGCCTCCCTAACTTCAGTTAGGGAGGATGGATCCTCACTGATGAGTTTGTCCGTCAACGTAATCTTGGCACTACCATCCAAGTTAACTGTTGGTGGGTCAATCTGGTACAGCTGCTCAAAATACTCAGTCCAACACTCCTGCACCGCAACAGGATCTGAGACGATCTGACCACTTACTGAGCGAACTGCTGTGACTTGTGGTGAGGGCTTGGAGTTCAGCTTTCTCAGGGCTTGGTATGCAGGACGAAGGTCATTTACTAAGAAATGGCCTTCGACCTCCTCAGCAAGACTCCTAATAAGCTGTTCCTTGTACCTTCTTAACAGAGACCGAGTTCTGCGCACCTGAGAATTGTGCAAATCCCAATCCCCTGCCAGACGAGCTGCATGGCAAGTATCTATGACTTCCAGTGTCTCCTGTGAGATAAAATTCTGTTGCCTCTCGGTCGTTCACCTAACGATTCTTGGGCTGCATCAAGTGTTTCGCGCTTGAAGGTGTCCCACACAAAGTACAGGGTCCGTCAGATTGTCGAGTGCTGTGAAATGACGCTGGGAGTTTTGAAGTGTACCTGGGTAGCCACAACAATCTATGGTCAGTACACAGAACTCAGCACTGGAACCAGAAATCCTCAAATCCTGGGACCTAGCAAAGTCCCGGAAAAGGAGGCTATTCTCGCTGCCGGTATCACCTCCCGAACCATGAGGACCGACAGACATCTCATAGCCAGCTCGATCACAGCGATACTGCATGAGTCACCCAGAACAATACGGATATCTCGCCGGGGACAACTGTCTGCCACAGATGCAAGTTTGGCATTGAACATCTCTTTCACGTCGAGTTTACAAACATCAGTAGAAGCGTACACAGCAATAAGAGACATGAAGCCAATTGCTATCTTCAGTCTCAATGCCATTATTTCGTTGACTTTTACGAAAACGTGTATAGACAAATGTATAAATATATAGGCACACTCACACATATGCAAACACAAACAAAACAAGCACATTTACACCCTTAAACGTTAACCGAAAAGAATAACACTACAACGCACCAGTCATTTTAATTTTCTGTTCCAGTTTCAGGACAGCAATGTCATTGGTTATGCCTCCGAATCCACCGTGATAGTCCGGATGAAGGAATGCTTTTGCAACGGGAATCACCTGGGTAAAGCTCTCCTTCACCTTTAGATCGTGTATGCCCACAGTTACAGTCATTCGCCTATTCTTGCTAAGAAAAAAAAAAAAAAAAAAAAGGGGGAAAAAAAGGAAAATGAAAAGAAAGGAGAGAAGAGCAAATTATTATGGCGAAGAAAGAGTAGAAAATGTAGAAGCTGTAACATGCAGAAACAGGACTGGGCTATGCCAGCATACTGTTGCCGTTATAATATTACTTTTATTATCAATATCATTCTTATCATTATTGATATCTTTGATAATTATATTATCATTATGTGAATATACATTATACATTACCATTAGTATTATTATCATTATCATCAACATCGTCACCATCAGTACTCACCCTGGTATGCAGTGGGCAGCTGTCAGGACAAACAGTTCACTAAAGACAACACCACCACAATAACTTCCACTTGTTCTAAACAAAACCTGGTACCCGCGCTTGTACGGCTCTGCCTCATAGCCTCCCACGATGCGCTGGTCAGCTGAGAGGAGGGGGAAATGGTGTAAATTTTGAGTATGGATTATAGTGTGTGTTTGGGTATTGTCTGTTGTGTTGGGTGGTGTGTGAGTGTAGATAGCATGGCGTGAAAGTGACAGCTGCATTACTGACAATTTCTCATTTTGCAACATATCCTTATGTTTCCAACCAGTGTGTTTCGTATTTAGTAATGAAAAAAAAATCACGATTTTGACAATAATGACCATAGCAAATATAGCAATCATTATAATGGCAAAGTGTGTGGGTGCGTTTTAGTGTGTATGTGTGTGCCTATGCTTGTATCTGTGGGTTTGAGCGTATGCATGTATGTTTGTATGTGTGCGGGTGTACGTTTGTATGCGTGTATGTGTGTGTGTGCATGTGTGTGTGCGCATGTATGTAACCATGTACGCATATATGTATATGTATGTGTGCGCGGAGACAGAGACTTACAAAGAGGAGGTCCTTCAGAAGACTCAGGAGGAGGAGGTCCTTCACCAGAGACCTCGACTGGAGGAATCGGGGTCTGGAAAATAAATTTAATCATATAAGTTACAAATTATTATCTACAAAGCATGCAACTTGTTATGTAAAGCTGTAAAAATAAGAATAATTTCCCCTAATCAAACGCCGTTTAGACTCTGTGAGGACGACAGTGGTCACGCTTCTCTCTCGACTTTTGAATAGTATAATTACTTTCATGGATATCAGTTAATAAGAACTATTTATTTCGAATTGGTAGAATAGAAAAGAAAATGTATTCTAAACTCATAAGAATGAAGCTTACATTGAACAAAATATGGTTTCGTCCCTAGATCTGTTCAACAATATATGCCTAACTATATATTTGTACACTTTATAGCATTTTATCAGGGGAGTTGTTCATAGTGTTGAGGGCACAGACATAATTGCAGCAGTATAAATTATAACTACCATATCAATCAAGTTAAATTTTGAATTCATTTACACAACAATAACACTGTATAACAAACATCACAACTGATATATAATTAGTCCCTTACAACAGGTTTACGTCATCTCACAATTAATATTCGAATTGTGGAATGGAAGGGAAACGAGGACCGTCTCAATTGGCCGTCATTATCGCAAGCACCATGCATGAACACAATCACTGTACTTTTGTTACTAAATTATCGAGTATAATTACCGAACAGATGTAGAGTGCCTGGCCCATAAAAGCAAGAGGGCGAAACAACACAAAATAAATAAAGTAAATAAAATAAAAAAATTACCTTCAATTTAATATAATTTAAAATAACAAAAACAATGTTCTCAGATCCAAATACGATATTCCGCGATTCGCCATAATGGTCGTATATTACTAACTGGTACAGGTACAGTTTCTTAATTACATTACAAGTGGGTACCCCTTTTGTACATCTAGCAACCTCATCGACGTAAACTTAGCGTAAATAGTATCTTTCATGAATGTTGTTTGTAAGAAAATGTGATTCGAAACCTATGAATAACAAGTGCTTATTATTATCCTATTTTTGGAAAGTATATGTCATTTGATCTTTCATTTACCTCAAATAAGTGACAACAAAACGTGTGACATTAGTTTATCGTCGACTTTGTAGTGGATATTTTCCAAATGCGATTTCCTGAAATCCTCTTCATCGAAATGGCAACACTTATGAGGCCAGGCGGTATTCGCCCTCCCTCTTCTTTCAACACAAGGATAAATAATAACTGCACATTTCTTGAAATATAAAAAGCTAAATATTTCTTTTAAACATCTATGTACAGCAGGCAAATCAAATGAAAATCGCCAAGTCCTTTGTAAATGCTTTTCGTAGTTGCACCATGTGTTGGTGGCTAATGTAACCAGTTACGTGACTCGAGTTTCTTCTTTTCGCCAGAACCAAACAACATGCATTATTTTCTTATTTATAGAATATTAACTGAACTCAAAACCGCAGTGACGCATTGTCACTGTACGCGCGCTTGCATGTGTGTGTGCAGCGTTTATGGAAATACGAAGTCAATAGATGGGGATGGGTTGCGATACAATATACATTGTATTGGACGTGAGGTCCAGACTAGGCGAGTCCCCCCTTCTAGCCAGTAGCACCAGCTAGCTCAGAACCATCTGTGGGCATCGATGGCAGCCTGCTGCAGTTTGCGTACCTGGATTTTTTTTTCTTTTTTGTCAAGAGCCTATATCAAGAGTCATCATGGTGCCAAAGTCTCACTCGTGTATGAGATCTTGACTAGGTCAGACCTTGTTTAAAAAAGCAGCAGCAACAAATTAAAAATCGTGTACCACTTGTTACCCTAGAGTCCGGGGCCTCTCGTCTCGCTCTATATTGTGGTTTCTGTGTTGTATAATGTATATTGCACAGAGTAAATTTCAGTGCTTTGGTCTTGCAGGTCACACGAGACTACAGTAGGATTAGTCAACACCCAACCTCAGACTTGCAGCTCTCTACACCAGGGTAGCCCTCACGGGCATTGACCCCTGAGTAGTGAGGCCCAGTAGTCTGGGGCGTCCTTTGGGCACTTTTTCTTATATTCTGAATTCCTTCCTTCTCTTAATGTGACTTCCCTGAGCCTTGTGGGCTCCCGTATTCGCTTGGGGGTGGGCATCTACTTCCCGTCCTTCGCTTCGGGAAGTTTGGCGGTAGGGAAGTGTCCTCCACTTAACTCGATCCCTATGTGGTATTGGAGAACGCAACCAGGCTTCCACTGGAGGGGTAGAGGACGATTAACTGCCACACTCTCTTAGCCATTGCTGTTAGGTTGATTACCAATAGTTAAGGGGTTTATTGGTCTTTCAGGACAACGGGCAAGCGCCCAGAGGTCGGACTTGTCCGATGCCCATGATGTCTGATCCCCCGGCTACCCCTTCTCCCAGAGGAGGGGCGACCCATGACACCTCTAAGACCACGACTATGAATAATGGAACCACTACAATTGACCAACGAGAACGACCTCATGCTATCCCTCCAGAGAATGCAAGGTATTTGGCTGTCAGATGCGTGAATGAAAATCAGTTGCTTCATCATCAAGGTCCTTGATGGTCAAGAAATTGCGAGATGGTAGCTTCCTTGTAAAAGTGCAATTCAAAACCCAGGTTAACGACTTAAACTGAAGCAGATTCATGATTTCAAGGTAAGAGTAACTATTTCTGTTGGCTCATATAACTGTAAGGGAGTAGTCTTTCATAGGGATTTGAGAATGATGATTGAAAGTGAAATTCTTGAAAACATGAAGGACCAAGGCGTAATGGACCAAGAAAGATAATGTGTGAACGAAAACCGGATTGTGTTTTTTGACCTTTGCTTCAAGTAAAATTCCTGAGTATGTCTATATTGGATACGAACGAGTCCAAGTAAGATCTTAAATTAAAAAACCTGTGTGCTGTAATAGATGCCAAAAATTTGGACACACCTCATTACGCTGTATTGATAAGGATACTGATAAATTCACTTACGGTAAATGTGCTGGAGTTCATGACATCACACATGTACTGGAAACCCTTTCAAGTGTGCTAACTGTGGAGGTCCATCAGTCAGGCTCTGCATGTGCAGCAGCCTGAAGAAGGAGACTGAAATATTAGCATACATGAGAGGTCATGATTTTAGTTACCATGAAGCCAAGAGGAAAGTTGAAGGCTTGACCAACAAGCCAAATAATACCTATGCTTCAGTAGCAACTAACAACACTCCCAGTGCAAGCAGTATCAGTCAGGTGCTTGCAGCTAAGGATAAAGAAATTACTGATATTAAGGAAACGGAAAAATGATTAACAAGTCAAATTGTTGAATTGAACAAAACAATAAAACAAATTACTGAATCAAACCACAAAAGCAGCAACGTAAGGATGATACCAAATCACAATCTGGATCATACGTTCCCGTCCAGGTGACTCCTAATAAGACTCCTCAGAGCATATCATCTTCAGCCAGTCTCCTCGCAGAGAGATGCAGGACATGGAGTCTTTTGTTCCGTCTTCCCGCGAGAGGTCACTGGGAAGCTCGGGAGAAGAGGCGCCTCCTCCCAGAAAAAGGCACTTCCAAACCCAAAAACATAATCTTCGCATTAACCATTATACAATGGAACTGTCGAAGTCTTAGAACTAGAGTAAACGACCTTAGATTATTAGCCTCGTCTTATGCTCCCGATATTATCGTTCTCCAGAGACCCATTTAAACAACTTTATCTCTGATGAATTGGTTTCGTTGAGAAACTACCATCTGTGTCGGAAGGATCGAGAGGGTAGGGGTGGAGGCGGAGTCGCCACGTACATCCACCAGAACCTCCCATTTATAGAAATGACTATAGAATCTACTTTGTAGATTGTCGCATGCAAAGTAAAAGTCAATAGCACGTATATGGCTATATGTTCAGTTTATTGTCCACCTGATAATGTGGTAATTTATGATGAGCTCTTTGCTCTTCAGGATAGTCTGCCCCAAATAAAGTAATTTTAGGTGATTTTACTGCTCATCATACATTATGGGGTTCCCTGCGGGTGGATGGTAGAGGTGAGCAAGTAGTTAAGCTTGTTAATGATTCAGACCTAATCCTTCTGAACGATGGTAGTCCAATGCGAGTGGATGATAATAGCGGTAATTTAAGCTTTATTGATCTATCTCGGGTCTCTTCAGCAGTAGCAGCTAAGTGCCTGTGCACACCATTGACTTGATGGGAAGCGACCACTTTCCTATTTGTATTATATATTCATGCGACNGAGTTCCATTCCCAAGACTTCGACAGATAGCGTAAAAGCATAGAGTTCCAGGTTGCCACAGGGTACTGCGTGAATGCAATAGGGCCTACAGGCTTTTCAAAAATAATGTCACAAACCAGAACTTTTGCAACTATAAATTAGCAAGAGTTCAGGCTCATAGAACAATCAGACAAACCAAAAGAGACATCTGGCGAAGCTTTGTCTCTACAATCAATAGCAACACCAAAATATCACAGGTTTGGTCTAACGTCAATAAAATCAATCTTTCAAAATTAAAAACATCATTCATGAGGGAAGCAATTTAGAATCGCCTAGAGACGTCGCTATTGCACTCGCCAGGCAATTATCTTATACAAGCAGCTCAGACAACTAACATCCTGCATTCCTGACCATCAAGGAAGCGGCTGAGCTGCAACCCATACACTTTGCCATAGATGAATTTAATTACAATAAAGACCTTACAGAAACCTGTAGAGGGGCGTCCCCAGGCCCCGATGAGATTCGGTATGAGATGATAAAGCATTTCTAGAAGTGTACAATGAAATTTGGAAAAGCCAGACTCTTCCAAACTCATGGCACTTCGCCCATATCATTCCCATATTGAAAGGAGAGGGAAATCCCAAATATGCCATCTCCTCCCACCCAATTGCGTTGACAAGTTGCTTATGCAAGGTCATGGAATGAATTGTTAACCGTAGGCTATTGCATTTTTTGAATTACAAGAATTTACTAGTTGACGAGCAGTGCGGTTTCTGAAAAGGACGCCAAACTCTCGATCAGCTAGTAAAACTGGCCAGTCATATTCAAGAG